TCAGATTCAAGTTGGATTAATGAGAGAAGAACATGGATATAAGTCTGGAATTTAAGAGTGGTCATGGGAGGACCAAGAAGCCAATGAAGGTGTATCAAAGTGGAACGGGGTGAAGAACAAGAAAGCCCAGAAGAATATGAGATCCATGCGAATAGGGACCTCTATTTTTTTCTACCATTCAAGCACGAATGTCGGTTGCATGGTGGGCGTGGTTTGCGTGGAGAAGGATGTTTGGAGAAAAGTTTGTGAGATGGGTGGTGGATATGATGAAGACAATGGCGATCAATAATCAGTATGCTTAATGGTGATTAGGGGGTGCTGTACAGTTGTAATCACTGACTTTTTGGAAGGGGTACTTTTAGGCTAGCAACATCTTTATTTTGGCTATGGGGGCTATGCTCTAAAGGTGTTTGATATTTTGTAGCAAAGGGAATATGTTAACAATTGTAAACTGTAATCACTGCAACATCTTTATTTTGGCTATGGGGGATATGCTCTAAAGGTATTTGATATTTTGTAGCAAAGGGGATATGTTAGTTGTTGTAATCACTGTAACATCTTTATTTTAGGCTAGTAACATCCTTATTTTGGCTATGAAATCTTCTATAATGTGTGATATGATGGTTGGAACCAATGCACTTTAAGCTATTTTTGCAGCTTAGAGATGTAATGAATGATTGGTTTTAAGGATGTTAAAAAAAGAAGTCGGGAATTTGAGCCTCTGTTTGGCCCCCCATTATTTGAATTTATAATGGGGGGAATAATATTTTTTTGAAAATTGTGTGGTTAAAAAATTTTCAATTTGAATGTAATATTATTTTATTGAAGATTGTGTGATTGAAAGTAGGAGAGGGAAAAAATTAAATTAAATTGAAGAGTTTTAAAATGGACCAAATGGGGGCTAAGTTTTATGTTGATGAATTTCAAATTTGCGCCATTGAAATATATGAAAATAAGATTTTTTTTTTTTTTTTTTTTTTTTTTTTGTGAAACTTTAATTTTAAATTTGGAGTTGTCTTATGGGAAAATGACATATAAAGTTGATTTTGGTCACTACTCACTAGTTGATTTTGATGTTGCAAATGGATTTCCCATAACATGTGATCTAGTTTATGTTGAATTTTTTCATAAGGTTATTCTTTAGCCATCAAAATAACATAAGTTAATTTAGTTGGTGGTAGAAAATGTCAGAAGTTATTATAAAATAGAAATAGTTTATAAATATATTTGACGAGAATTGACCCATCGATTGAACCATCGGGTCACCGGTTGAACCACTAACCCACTGACTTGTTGTGTTGTTCGGGTTGATTTCCGAGTCGGGTCTGATAACTATGGTTAAAAGTCAAAATACCTGAATTTGTAAAGTAAGTCACAGCCTTTGACTACTCATTAAATTTATGTATTGAACTTGGTTCGGTTTTAGGTAGACAAAAATTTGACAGGCATAATGGTCTAAAAAGAAAATTGTTCACAATATATTTGATCAAACGGTCTAATGATTCAATAAAATAAAATAATATATAACCATATTAATTTTATTTTAACTTTTGCTAACAAATTAAAGGAGACATCAAAGAGGCACAAACGGATTTACTCGCAATATTCTTTACGCGAGTTGGCTCGATCAGCTAGACTAATTGCTCGCCAAATTTTTGATATTTATATATTTTTTATTTTAATAATAAATATTTTTAATAAAGAAAAAATTAATAAACCTTAAAATAATAATACAATCCAACGGGGTCATAATATATAGACAACAACGTATGACAACGACCCCAAAAAAAATAAAATAAATAAAAAAATTAAAAATTAAAAATTTTGAACATATGCAAAGTATAGAGAACAGCCTTTATAATATATACTCGTATCGTTTTATATTAACATTACTTTATCATTTATAACTACATTATATATTGTGAATTATAAATCACGAGTAGTTGAAACGCATTAATCAAGAAACATCTCTCTTCATTTTTATTTTTTTATTATTTCATTTAATAGTTTAATGATAATGTATATATTGTGAATCAAGAGTAGTTGAAAGACATATAACTCCACCACAATTATCTCCACCTCTTCTATTTTTTTTTTTTTATTTAATCGCATTAATGGTCACACGTATCTATATATATGTATATATAATGATCACATATACAGTGGGTGTGAATGGCGAGTAATTGTCACATGTAAAACAAAGATTTGATGTCCGTATCTCCCTCTTCAATCATTTTTTTTTTTATAAAAATGATCACATATGTCAATATGGTAAATCAAGTAAAATCAACTGAAAGGAATATAAACGCTACTATTTTCTTCTCTTACGAGATATTTGCTAATCTCGAAAATCAATTATAACACGTGGCCAATGGATCCAGACTCCACTTCCATCCACGTCAAATTTATGCATACTTGAACAAACATTAAGTGCATGTGACCTTCTCCAACAATGAGAAAGGCAGCCGTGGTGCTCAAGTCAATCAAAGACAAGAAAGTATTGTTTTGGTGTAGGATGGACAATGAATGAGAGCATAATTGAAGAGAAAATGTCAAAACAATTTTATACATCAAAAAATTTAATTACCTTTGGATGACACCAAATTTTTATAGTGAAAGAGAAGATGTAATTACTATTCAATGTGTGACATCCGATCTCATCTTAGCAGCCTACAGGACAGACCTCTTTTTTTTTTTTTTTTTTTTTTTTTTTTTTCTAAAGTTTTTTTTTTTTTACAAGGTGTCCAATTCTTGACTAATCCTTAGGTCTGTGATCCGGCCCCTCTTCACACAGTCCGGTTAATCGCAGGATGTGCCTCCGACTGGCCAGGGTCCGAGCGCTCCCCACCTGATCTGACAAAGTGCCAAGCAAGCCAATCCAAGTTGCACCTTGCCTTCCGAGAATAATCCTTGCCTTCCAAGTTCCCACTTGCCTTCCAAGAATAAATCCTTGCCTTCCAAGAATAAATCCTTACCTTCCAAGAGCCCCATGTTTCGAACTCACAACCTCTACTCTGCCAGGTTTGACAGCGTCCGTCCTTTGCCAGTGGAGAAGTGCCCTGGGGGGCAAAATGAACTACAGGACAGACCTCTTGACATCACATCCGGTTGTCTTAGGTCAATAGTAACCTTAAATGAACTCAAAAGTTGTCACCCTATGTTCTAAGCTTGTAACCTAAAACGCATATTGAAAAGTTGATTGAGAAGCATTTGTTGCAGAACTGTCGAGTCAATCAAACATGAAGAAGAAAATATCATTGAGTTAGAGTAATGTTATGAAAGATGCGTTATGAAATAAAGGCATCATCGCTTCAAAAATGTACTACAGTAACTTGCGACCGGTTGCTTCGGACATAGAGGCCCAAACCCTATAATATCCTTGAACTATTAGTTCCATAGTTGAGTTGAATAGAAATCGCACATAAAATTATCTTCAAAACTCGTGTCGTTGAGAGTTATATTTAGTGTTTAATATCATCAATTTAAATTCTTTTATGATTAAATGATATGGTGTTACGAACACCCACCACAAAAAGGAAAAAAGAAGAAGAGAGAACCAATAACCTCCAAAATACAACTCAATTTTGTTAAAAAAAAAAAAAAAAATCACATACATTTACGCTTTCTAAACGTAAAGGTTTAATAACCAAATGGTCACTAAACTTTAAAAATCATCCAAGTCATCATTGAATTTTGCAAAATATTTATACGGGGTCACTGAACTTTAAAAATTATTTCATTCATCACTAAACTTTGAAAAAAAAATTCACAGGGTCATTGAATTTTGCAAATGGTTTCCCTCACTAAATTAGTGATTTCATGGGAAACTTTTTGCAAAGTTTAGTGATGAATTAGATGAGTGACCCTTTGAAAATATTTTGTAAAGTTCAGTGACCTCGTGAAAGCTTTTGCAAAGTTCAGTGATGACTTGGGTGATTTTTAAAATTTAGTAAATCCTGTGAAATTTTTTTGCTAGGTTCAATGACCATTTGGGTTATTAACTCGAAAGTAAACTTGAAAGTATAAAAGATGAACTAATATTCAACCATAAGGTTTCACTTCTTAGCACAGTTCAAGAGACTTGTATAACAACACGACAGGACAATATACTTCAAACAAATTACAATAATCTAAGAAACTTTGACATAAGTTATAAAAAAAAAAATAATAATAAATAAAAATTCTGTTTTTGACTCATTAAAGTGCATAGATTCCAACATAGAGGATTGCTAGCAATCCTTGGCAACATAAACTAGTAATAGTACCTAAATTGGTGTCAATGATGCTAAATAACTCTACTCTAATTTCAGTGGCAAGTATATATCACAAATGTTCCTACTCCAGTCCCTTGACACCTTCACATTTACCAATTGTTTGGAGTTAAGATTTTAAGTATGGGTTAAATGTTAGATTTGGTAACCTTCTTGTAACCTAATTCTACGCTTAACAAATAATAATACAAGTCGATCGATAGAATGGGATAGAAATAAATATACAAATTGATTCCCTGAAAGATTTGTTTTACCGCATCGAACCATGAGAAGAACAAGGTCGTCCCACCATGAATGTACAATATTTTATTAGCAAAAAAGAAACACATACGATCAAGACTTGTAAAGTTTTCCATTTAAGCCACACTTAAAGACATAATTGAATTTTGCTACTTGAACATAAAAATGGTATATAAGCGGTAATCCAAAATGATGTCGAGGGAAAAAATTGGATGCAAAAATTGACTGTACTTTAAACTGACAAATGGTATAATGTCATATAAATATTATGTAATCCCTTATATAAACTTTAATGTATATGTAATAAGGGCTGCAGTATACAAAGTACGCATCAATTTCTTTCAGATTCTTTGTTTCTTTAAATCCCAAACAGTGTATAATTTTTTTTTTCTCATTTATTGATGTTCTGTACATTCGATGTCAACAAAAAATTTCAAAATATTCTGGATGTCATAAGAATTATAACATGCTAAAAGAGTTGCAAAAAAATATCATATAAACTGAGGTGATATTAGTTGAATTCTACTAATAGAAGAAACATTACAAAGCCAGAAGATCTAACATTATTGCGAGTACGCTTTACAAACCAAAGCATGAGATCATCATGAGAGTGATATATAATAGATAACTACTTAAATTCATAGTTCCTTGCATAACATTTTGACTTAAGAAAAACACTACTAACATTATTGAGTCGAGCAATAGTAGTAGGAAGTCGACGAAATTGCTAAAAGTATAACTAGAACTAGAAGCACACATTCTTCCAAAACACATTAGATATAAGCATTTAGCCATTTTGTTGTGTCGATTTTGGGAGTGGGGTATTGGCAAATTTCCATGTGTGTCTTTCAAGAGCCTCGGTAGAACTTTTTGACCCTACCACTTCATTGATAGGAACTGCATCAGAAATCTCTTTCAAATCATCTTTGGTAAGCTTCACTTTCATCGAACCAATATTTTCGTGAAGATTTTTTATTTTGGTCGTACCTACAAATATTACAAGATTGATTGACATCTAATCACTAAAATCACAATAATTAATGAAATTAATATTATTAAAATATACATTTCAATCATCAGACATATAATTCCACTTTTCTAGTCATAAAAGAATGAAGTATGCTAAAGTGTTATCGAACTCTACCGTATTTAAACCAAGCTTCTTATATTAATGGGCTTACCAGGGATAGGTACAATATCATCTCCTTGATGAAGAACCCATGCGAGTGCAAGTTGAGCAGGAGTGCATCCATGCTTCTTAGCTAACTTCTCTATACGAAAATAAATAGTTTTGTTCTTATCAAAGTTTTCACCTGTAAACCTTGGATGATGTTCCTGATGGTATGAAAATAGGCAATCATTTAGCGAATATAAATTAGTAGAATGAAGAAACTACAAAATGATCTTGGATATTACACACCAATAAACTATTTGGAGGCACGCTTTCCACCACAGCCTTCCCGGCAAAAAACCCTCGACCGACCGGACTATATGGAACTATTCCGATCCCAAGTTCCCTAATCATCCATTCCAAAAAGAAATCCTATATGAGAACATACTTATTGAACAAGAAGGATAATGTTAAGAAGAAAAATTATACATACGATGAAGCATAGTAGTGGAAAGAAGATAAATTGGGGAATCGCAACACTAATAGGAAGTATGAAAAATACTTACTACACGAGGCGTTAGTTTAACTCATTAAAAATATCGAGAAGACAAGTACACCATGTGAACTATTTTGTTAAAAAAAAAGGAGCTGAACATTGCAACGTTAGTCCTAAAAGGAAACAATTGACATCAAGTACTTTATGTTGTGAAAAAATCAATTTGAAATTTAAACATCTGGTTTTATTCTCCCACTTCAATTGCAACTTGCCAGAATATTAAGATGTAATATTTGAACAATCAGGACTATAATAGAAATATCTGAAAAATAAGGAAACCTGCAAAGTGGAATTATTTCGTCTTCGATATCACGAGTCCAAAGAGAGTATTCCATTTGTAGAGCACTGATAGGATGAACAGCATGAGCCCTCCTTATTGTATCTGGACTAGCTTCAGATAATCCAACATATTTTATTTTGCCTTCACCGACTAGTTTTTTAAGTTCTCCCATCTATAAACAAAAACAATTTTATCAAGAAGATGTATCATTGTCACTGAAATGGAAAGCAGCTGAGACAAAAATGAGGTTAAAGGCCACCAATGAAAATGTCAATGCAAATATCAAATAAAGGTATATAAAAAACCCACAGTCTCTTCAATAGGCACATTGGTATCAATTCGATGTATGTAGTAGAGATCGATATAATCTACACCAAGACGCTTCAGACTAGCCTCACAACAAGAACGAGCATATTCTGGTGAACCTTTCGCTATAAGGTTAGAAGCTTTAATTTCTGCTACACCAAACTTTGTAGCTAACTCAACCTTTTCTCGAGGTAACTGCTTTAGTGCCTGCAGCATTGAAATGTCAAAGGTAAGTGATCAACAAAATGCTCATATATTACGGAAAATAACTTCAAGAATAATCTAAAGACCAATTTATATCACCCTTCCAACGAATAGCTTCTTAGAACTGATTTTACACTCGAAAAACCAATATTCCCAACCTATTTGAACAAATAAAACCCAAAGTTGGCTGCAAATACCAGCCTCGAAATTGTAGTTCCCTAACATCAAATTAAATGGTAGCAAATGAAAGAATTACAAAATGAGTAGTTGATCCTCTAACCATAAACATTGTGAGTTTTATAGTCGAAAGAAATTTGTGGGGGATGAGATTCAAAACTTCAATCTACCTCTGTTAAAATAAGCATCTTAGAGATTACCTTTCCCACCAAGTATTCATTGGCATTGTTCACACCATAAATATCTGATGTGTCGAAAAATGTAACGCCTTTACTAAATGCCTCTTTGATTATTGCAATTCCTTCCTCGTCAGGAACAGGAACATTGTAGCTTCCAGTTAGCCCCATACAACCATAACCTAACTTTGATACCTGTCATAAAAAATTACGAACCTGTTCAGCTTCCAAGTTGTAGGAACGAGGACATAGGTTATGAATCATCGAATATTGTTCCGAAATGAAATATAAGAATAAAGAATCAAATAAGAAAAGTTGAATACATAAATACCTCAAGTCCTTGAGTTCCGAGTTTCACTCGCGGCATTGCAACTTGTTCAGCCATTGCTAATTACTTTCTTCTACTGAGTTGAAGATCCTACAACCTTCGCTTGAATATATATAGGAGAAGGAAAGGAATACTCTGTATGGAAGACGTAAAGGATTACCTCATGTTCTGTATGGAAGACGTAAAGGATTACCTCATGTTCAGGCTCCATGTCAGCAATTCTGTGTCGTTCTGGGATTTGGTTCAAACCTAAAACGGTGCAGCTAACTCGTCATTGTATATGTACGTTTTTTGACTCCGAAATATAAAGGATAAACCCACAACCGACATGCAGAAGACTCGACCGATTCTATATTTTAATAATTATTTAATAGTACTGTGTTTGACTAAAAGAAATTCTAGGAAGAATTAAAATGAGATCCTCAAGGATCTTTTTTATAATTAAAATATAGAAATTCAACTTAGATTTTGTTTGATTGTAAATATTTTTTATGAAAAATATATTTTTTTATTCAAATTCCTACTTTTATGCTATTTGATTGCCTTTTTTATGAATAACATTTTCTTGCTTTTAGTCACATAACCTTATTTTCCTCAAAATCTAGGAAAATATTTTTTGGAGAGTAGGTTTTTATTTTTTAGGAAATTCACTTTTTTCTTTATCTCCTCATCTACCCACCAATAAAAAATGGACAAGTATAATACTTTTATGTTAAAAATTAAATCAATTAAACACATTTAATTGACAATTTTCATGCAAATAAATTTTAGATAATTGAATTACTTAACATTTATTTTTTTCTAAACAAATATCATAATTGCAATCAAACGCAATTTAAAAGCAAAAATCTTGTCATATAGACTGACTTCTATATCAGGTCCAGCAAGATAGGAATCAAGCCCAACAATATTCGATTTCATCTATGCCTTTTAGATTGAATTTGCAAAATAGATTAGGATAATTTATTATTATTATTATTATTATATAAGTATGAATTTGCAAATATTAGGTTCATCTTGTAACACACACACATATATATAGGATTGTGCTACGTGTATATAACAATCTACCTAATGATTTACCAACGAATAATGTAGCGGATTTAATTGGATCAAAATATCATCAATCAAATAACTTCCCCACTTACATTTTGACACATTATCATTATGTAAAATATTATATAAATAATTATGTACAAGAAGTATTTTTTATATATACACGGTGCATGTAACAACATGCATAACAGATATATGGAAATATTTACAATTCATTTATATTTTCTTTATTATATTTTAATTTCTAGAAGTTATCTGTATTGAAATTGAGGCGAATAGTGGCAACGTGAAACATTTTTCTTTTTCTCCTTATATTATTTTATTAAACACTCCAGAGTTCAAAGAATGAAGACAAAATATTCAATCAAAGTATTTATAGAGTAATTTGTACACGCAACCTAAGATAACGTGCATCCTATCCCCTTCTTTTCTTTTCTTTTTAATATATATTTTTATTTTTATTTCTGCTCAATTGACAATTAGTGACTAAATCGTCATTATTTGAGATGAAAATATGAATTAACATTAAAATAATATGTTTTCATGTTCAATTTATGGAAAAATTGTATACCAAGCTATTGTGGTGGGACTTGAAGCTCTCAAAGATTAATAGCCTATGTTGTAGATTTTGTTGGAATAATTCTATATGTGGGCTTCACATTCAATTGTAAATTTTAAGGGTTAGATATATAGTTCATAATGATATTTGTGTTTTTGGGCGAAATTTATTGAGTGATCAATTGGGTCTTTTACACCTTACGGGTTGTAATTAATATGAAGTGGTAATTTTTAAGTATGTGGGCCGAAAATAAACACTAATTAGAATTCTAGTCGTAATGAGACGGCTCAATTATTTCCTATATAAAGGCTAGATCCCCTTTCCTTTCCATTATTATTTTATTTAGCTTGCTCTATTGATAGCTAATATTTTGTGAGGAGTAAGAAGGGGAAAATTTTGGCTACTATTACAACTATTATTCATATCAACGAAGCTTCCGCAGGTATGAATTTGAACTACTAATTTATTATATTGTGATTCTTGTTCTTAGTATGATTACAAATAAATTTCAATAATTGGTATCAGAGCATACATGTTAAGATCAGAAGTCTACGTAAAATAACTTTCTTTTTCAATTCCCACTTTTGAACTATGAAATTATGGACACCAAATTTCCTGTCGCCGGCTTCCCAAATGCTCCAGTCAATCAAAAAAAAAAAAAAAAAAAAAATACTCTATAAACTTTTCAACATTGCTTGCAAAATTGTCTGCAAACTTTAAATTTTCCAAAGTGATATAATTTACAGTAAGTGTCAGGTGAGATTTCTTTTCCTCCCCTTTTTATCTCTACTTAATTATTATGCCCCTGTTTGATTAACATTAAATTAAATTACATTACATTCCATTTTTCTCTTTTTTATTTTCAACCATACAATGTTCTATAAAATAATATTACACGTAAATCGAAAACTTTACCTTCTTTTTCAACCACTCATTTTTCTAAAAAATACTATTCCCCCCATTACCATTTTCAGGTAATGGGGGCCAAACAGGGGCTATATATGAAGGGATGAGAATAGCCAGATCACTTCAATATTCTCTTTCTCAATTCTCAAAATCAATCCCCATAGTGGACTCTTCAGGGATGACGTTGATGGATAAACTCATAATCATAAATTACGTGAATTAACTGTCTTTGTCTTTCATCATGTATTTCATCCTCCGACTGTTGCCTTTTTGGATGTTAGTCACCAATGAAGCTTTAGTGGCACAAGAATTCTTTTTGGGCTTTCTGTACAAAGAGGGCGCTGATAGCCAAGTTTTAAATGAAGAGTTCTTTTTTTTTTTTTTTTTTTTTTTTGTTTTTTTTTTTTTTTTTGGAGAATCCTTTTTGGTAGGAGAATTCTTTTTGGAGAATATTTTTTCAAGGTCTCTGTCTGTGTATGCATGTTTATATATAATTTCCTTTTCATTGAAATTTTGTTATTTTGAAGTAGCCAAGAATATGGGTTTTGATTTCCCAGTTGGATCTTCGTCTTTATTGAAAAATCGAAGAAAAGTCCTTTCATTAGAAGTTATAAAAAACCTGCTATGAAAAAAGAATAGGAACAAAGAAAAAGGACTTGAATCTAGACATTGATTCTTTTTTTTCGCAATTATTTTTTGAACCGTATGCGTCAAAAGGTGCATGTACGGTTCCTAAGGGATATAATTTTACCCTAATCAGCCGACTTTATCGAGAAATATTACATTTTTTAGGTCAAGAAGTTGATAGCGAGATCTCGAATCAACTTATTGGTCTTATGGTATATCTCAGTATCGAGGATGATATAAAAAATCTGTATTTGTTTATAAACTCTCCTGGCGGATGGGTAATACCTGGGGTAGCTGTTTACGATACTATGCAATTTGTGTGACCAGATGTCCATACAATATGCATGGGATTAGCCGCATCAATGGCATCTTTTATTTTGGTTGGAGGAGAAATTACCAAACGTCTAGCATTCCCTCAGGCTTGGCGCCAATGAGGTTTTTTTTTATTTGAGAGAAAAAAGAAGACTATGCCTTTGCCATATGAATATTAAGTAATAATAGCATGGCACTTCGAATTCGATATGCAAAATTTTTGCCTTGTTTTTTTTTTTCAAAAGATTCGATTATGTATCGAGAGAGTAGTATGAGATAAAAGGTATTTCCGATTTCTCTTATCTATCGGGAGTCCAGTTCAGTGTCACAAACTTTTTTGTTTTCACACCGAAGGGCTCTTAACAATATTTATGTTATAAAAAAGGAGGGCGAAAAAAAAAACAATTTTTTTCCTTATTTGATTGGATCAAAAAGAAACTTTGGGATTGCTGAATCAAAGACAAAAAAAAGAATCAATTTTAAAATAGAAAGCAACGGAGCCATCATAGTATTTTTTAACTCCTCTGAAAGGAAGGGTGGCAATTTGATCATTTATCCATCTGGGTCTGATAGATTCTATTTTTCTCTTTCTTCAATGGAAGGTAAGGGTCAATTTTATTGTAGAGCCGTATGCAATGCACAAAAGATAATGCCCGTACGGTTGTTCAATTCTATCTTTTTTTTTCCTATTATTCTTTATCTTTCTTTCTTTTCTCTTCGTTTCATCACGCGAGATAGAGAACTGTTATATCATCAGGGTAATGATCCATCAACCTACTAGTTCTTTTTATGAGGCACAAACGGGAGAATTTATCCTGGAAGCGGAAGAACTGCTGAAACTACGCGAAACCCTCACAAGGGTTTATGTACAAAGAACGGGCAAACTCTTATGAGTTTTATCTGAAGACATGGAAAAAGATGTTTTTACGTCAGCAACAGAAGCCCAAGCTTATGGAACTGTTGATCTTGTAGCAGTTGAATGAAAATAAGATGGATTTTCTAAAAATCCGTGATTTGAGATTTTATCTATGAGTTTAATATTCTATTAAATAGAAATAATTCATAATCATCCGGTTAGGATCAATCTAAACCAACCCAATATGTAAAATTGGATTGATTCATTTGAATTGATAAAATTAGGAGTTCATAAAGAAATTTGAATTAGATTATTGCATATACCACATTAAAATAAATGACATTATTATTACTGATTGGTAAAATCTATATCTGTAAAAAGGGAGAGGAGGCTTTTTTTTATGGTAAGAAATTCATTCATTTCGGTTATTTCTCAAAAAGAAAATGAAGAAAACAGAGGGTCTGTTGAATTTCAAGTATTCAGTTTCACCCAGATTTTAGGAAGATCTCGTATTGTTTTATTAGAAATAAAAATAAAAATAAAATTGGTAGGCGTCATTCAATTTTTAGGTGATCAAGACGGGGGGCTGGTGCTGTAAGTAACATTATTACGGGCCCCTGCATTCAATTAAAGAAAAATGACATGTTTGCAATTTTAAAGAGGAAGGACCTATTTTGTAATTTTCAAATTGTAAGATTCCTTCTTATAATTTTAAATCTAGAGCCAAGTTGCGATTTTCAAAAGGGATATGAATTTAGATTTTAAAAGGGTTTTAAA